GAAAAAAATAAACCTTATAACCCTGAACCCTGACCTAGTATCCCCCCTCAGACACCAAAATTTATGTGCGGATGGTTTTGATCTGTTGATCATCCCAAAAAAAATTATTATTGACAGCTAAGCCCAAATATGAGTTTGAAGACAAATCTATTTCTATTATGGAAATTTTTGGTTGATGGGTTAGAGTCAAGTCATGGAAAAGGAATAGTATATATAAAAAAAAAAAAAAACTCAGATTGAAATCTTTGTAAAATTAACTCTGGATATGTCAAACAGGTTGAAGTAAAGAACAAATAATTACAACATGAATAAATTAACCACATGGTGGAACTTGATGCATCAAGCCAGCTGGTGGGGATCTCACAGGATGAAAATTAAGAGAAGCTTGGAAACAAAATTGAATAGTTCATGAGTAAAATGGGTAAGAATTCAATGGCAAAAACACCTCTTTTTCCATCTGAATGGTATGAATCTGATGATACACATCAGCTGGTGATCAATTCAACTTTGATTGATGGATCCTTGGTCATACATATTTCTCTTAACAACTAATCACAATCTTGACCTTTTACCAGGGCATAAACGACACTTTTTCTTCTTCTATATGAATCTAGTATGACTAATCATAACATTTGTTCAGTTTCATTGTTTTATTTTATCCTTTTTTTCACAATCCTGGAAAATCTTTGCCCTTTAGGAAGCCAGTGAGATATTCAATCAGCTGACCTTCCTGAAGCCTTAGTGTAAAAATTTATAAGTTCATAGATGTTTAAACATAAATTTTCTGCTTCAATGTTTGATTTGATCTAGGAATAATAAAGTTTATTCCAAGTGTTGAACCTTATCTTTATTCAATTCTTTGGGGTGGCAATTTTTAGTACAGTCTTATTTTTTTACAGTCTTGTTTTTTTATTTTACTGTGGGATGGAAGCATCATAAATCATTCATTTATGTTTGTGATTGGCAGCAATAAAAGTCTGAAAAGCATTTGTAGGTGTAAAAATTAATCTTGATTTGTGCATTAAGAAAGTTAGGTTGTATTGATTTAACATCTTAATCTTCTAAGTGTAATATCTTGGTGACTATAATCAGTGAGGGATAAAAAGGCCACCACTGATCTCACATTAGTTTTATTACATCAATTTCATTGAATATCACACACTTTTTCTCCCACTATACTTTCCATGGCACATATAATAGGATAAAATAATATCCTGAATGGACCTGGGAAGCTGCCAAGCTTAATGAAATTTTGTTGGGAATAAAAATTCTCTTCTATAAAATACTAAAGAGACTTCTTGAAAAAAAAAATCATTTTATCACTATTTGATCCCTTCCACAGCTAGTGGTGAGATTATAATCTCATTATTATTTTGTAGGAGGGTATGAAAAAAAATCCTTCAATTTTATATGATCATAAACTTAGTTCATATTAGGGGGTATCAAATATAACCAAATCCACCATTATTTAATTGACTGGTTTGAAAAAATCCACCCTTTTTTAAACATGTTGGTTATTCATTTAACCCCTTTTGGGGCCCATTGATGCAAAAAAATATTTTTAAAAAAGTGACTGGTTTCTAATGGTGGATTTCCTATATTTGATACCCCCTATTAAATGCAAATTACATGTGAAGCAGTTGAGGTTTTTTTACATTTGTGTAGCCACCTGATAAAATTTGCATCAGTTTACAAAAGTTCTTGTGGACCTCAGCTTTATTTTTTCTTTGATGAAATTTCTAGCATAAATTTCAATGATTGTTTGTATGAGGCAGATTAAATCTCACTTACATAGTATGTTGAAGTGTATTAGAATATGAGAGATAGAGTTTATATAAAATTATTGGGGAGGTTTGAATTTAGATTCCCAAATAGATACATTCATATGTAAGGGAAAAATACAATGCCAGATCTGGAGGTGTTTCCTGATTTCAACTGTAAAATTGGACTAGGGGATTCACTTTCCTTTTCAAATAAGGTCTACATCAAATTAATGAATGTGAAATGTGGCACTAACATGAATGATATAATATTTGGTTGAATGGGTGCTAGCTGATACTACATTTGGTAAGCA